GCATGAAGTCCAGCTTGTGGAATTTAGGGCGACAGGGGAAACTGGAGTTTATTAGAGGTAAGTGGCATGGATGACTGGTGATGTGGCTGAGCAGTGGCATGGCTGCTGAATTCTGGGTGACTCTGTGCAAATGTGGAATTTCCAGATCAGTGTTTTGATGACTGAGTGACATGCTGAAGGTCAGTAGAAACTCCAAAGGTGACAGGGGTTGGGAGGAAACACAAGGACACAAGTGGGAAAAATTCTGAAATGGGTTTGTCATAGAGGCCTGTGGAATTAAGTGACAGATTCCTGTTCCAGCCTCAGGGAGTATACAGCTCCCTACACTGGGATATTCTTGACTTGGGTCAGCTCCCTCTGGCTCTGTTACCCTGCCAGTGAGTACCCACAAACATTGTTGAATGACAGTACTGCTACCTTTTCATTGTTATAGACATGCTCAGTGACCTCTTCAATGAATTTAGCATCTAGCTTGTCATCCACCTGCCCAAGCCAATTGGGGTGCCAGATCTTGACCCCTTTGGCAGTAAGTTCCAAGGGTTCTCCAATATCAAGAGGTTTGACAGCAGCTAGCACCACCACACGAACTTTCTTGCTATGGCTACAGTCAATTCCACATAATTGGCAGAACAGCAGCTGGATAATAGACTTGTAATGGGAATTAAGAATGTCTGGTGAGTGCATCCAACAAGTAGCATGGCATACTGACATACCTTTACAGCCATATGATCATTGGAACTCGTCCTTGATGAGGCTTGCTTCAGGGCCACTTCACCTTTCTCTCAAAGTTCTGCAAAGCTCTGTTCAAGAGTGTCAAGGCAAGAAGTCACTGTTTTGTTGTCTTCCCTCAGTCTGGTAAGTTCTTCTTCAAAATTCATCTTCCCTTCAGTAAGGTTTCTGATATCAACCATTATCTGCACAACCATTGCTTGCAAGCTGTCCATAGGCTCATGTTCATAGCTGCACATTTGCTCATGATCATAACCATGCAGGTCTGGCACAAAGGACCCGCTTCTAGAATAATTTGGCACATACATATGAGAATGGCCTTGCACAAGAACCTCACTGTGTCCATGGCTATTCGACTGGCTACAAACAGACCTACTGGAATAGACTGGCATAGTATGTTTGTGTCCATTTCTGTCCCCCTGGTAAGGCTTATAGCCAATTGGTTGGTTAGACTGACTCCCTCCTAGATAGGGATAGGGCAGGGCTTCATGTGAATCAACAGGACTGGTCATCTCCACATCATGGAACTGATGCTGGAAGGAAAACAAGGGTGTGAATAGCTACAGAGGTAAGGCAAGGTGTGTGGCTATTCAGACAGGAAATCTGTACTGACTGGTGGTCAGTCATTCTGTTGAGCAGGAGTACTAGTCATGAACAGATCCAGCACCTGCCTGCTTGTATTCACTGATGGTCTGTTGCTTTGATTAGGAGGTGCAAATGGATCATCTGGATGGCCAGGGAGGACATTAGAGTGCCCCAACACATGCCCACTCAGATGCACCTGAGAGTACATCTGTCTATGGCATGGAAGATGTGTTCATACATGCCGGATTCAGATGAGGGGGCTGGGGGAGCAGTGAGTCAGGGCAGCACCCAGGGGGGGTGACCATTTTTGAAGTGCACTGTGTAGTAGGCACTCTGGATATAATCTGATCTTATTATTCTGAATAGTGCAAGTGAAGATGGCAAGGATCAATGTGATTTATATGATGCAACTCATGTACATATCCTATAATCGCAGTGTAATCTGCTTAGAATATAGTTGATGCATGTTGGAATTGTCATGATGATAAGTTTGTGAATTCAACCAGATTACACTTTGAAATGAGAACTGTAGAAGTACCAACCCACTGTCACACCCAAATAAGGAAATGATGACATGCAGAGAGTGTGGGACACATGTCATAACCCCAAGAAGGGGACAAGCAAAGTGAAAAATACAAAGGCAGGAGTAGGGGTGGACATGCCCCAATAGACGAGATATCAAATGTACAATGTAGATATAAGGTAGCTACCACAGGGGAAAGAATCCCCATGAGACAAGAATGTCACCTCATTGACCTGCTTCCCTATCTGAATGCACTGAGTCCTCAGCCGGCCATCCTCACACATATCATTGCTCACACCTGATCACTCCCATGTCAGCCACTGCACACACATCATTCCTATCAGGTTATGAGCCCTGCCTGCTCATAACTGACCTTGTTTCCAAGCCACCAACATAGAGCCAAGAAGATCCACCCATTTATCTGTCAGAAGGGGGAGAAGAGAGATGTTGAGAGCAAGGGCACTGGCCAATCTGCGAGGCATGACACCTGAAGGGGACAGACCCCCTAACACACAGACCAGTGGGCTAATGCAGTCTTCACCTGAAGCACTGATGGCATCAGCTAGTGCCTCGAGGATGCCCCAGGTAACACCTGACTCACCTGTTGACTTACCAGCAGTTGCAGGCTCCTCATTGCAACTGATAGGGCCAAACCTGGCCATTGATGGGTCTTTGATGTCAACGATGGTGTTGTCAAAGGGAAAGGGGCAAGCCAGGTCCAGAGTGAGAGGACAAGAGGGAGAGATGAAGATAGTTAAGATGGAGAAGATCACTGCTGTACTTCAGCTCCAAGATCTGTACAAGATGGTGACAGGGGATGACCCACAACTGTCTGAGACCCTGATGGACAAATTGAATGCCTGGTGTAAATGTGACAAACATGCATACATGATGCTTATGGCAAATCTTGCTAATGATCAGACCATCCATGCCCAATCAGAGATGGAGACCAGTGCCACATTGTGGTGTAATCTACACATGGTACATGAGACCCAGGGCCAGCAGTCCATTGCTGCTATTAGGCATGACATCTATGGCCTCAAGGCACAGGAGGACACAGACCTCCCCAATCATATCACTAGACTATGTGACTTGCAGAACCAGCTGTATGAAATGGGTGATGTCATACCTGACCCCCAGTTCCAGGTTGTGTTGCTGTCATCACTCCCTACCTCATGGGATAGCTATACCTCTGGCTTCCTTGGAGGGTCACATTCACAAACAACAAAGATATCTATGCAAGAGATAATATCATTACTCCACACCAAGTGGGAATGCTGCAAGTGTGAGGGTGGAGAGAGTGGGTACTATGCCAAGAGCAGCAGGAACAGTAAACATAAGGCCAATCATCTGGGCCTGTGTGACATATGTGGTCGCACCAACCACAGAACCTCTGAATGCCACTTCAAGAACAAACCCAAATGCAGACACTGCTGACAGTTCGGCCACACCACTCAGGAGTGTTGGACCAACCTGGATAACAAAGATAAATGGTGAAGACAGAGATCTAGAGACTGAGATAGAGATTGGGATAGGAAGCAGTCTAGTAAATGCTCTGGACAATCAGATAAGGCACATCATGCAGTGGAGAATACAGACTCCAAAGACGATGTAGCATTCTCCTCCACCAAAAGTGTAGATACACAGTCCCCCAAATCAGAGACTTATTCTGCGTATGTGTGGTTGGCTGATAGTGCTACAACATTGCATATCTGCACTCATTGCAAAGTGTTCACTACCTACAAGGTACTACCAGACAAAACAGTCTCTGGAATAGGTACCAAGCTGGCTGCTGTACCCAGATGTGGCACAGTCACAGTGAATAGTCAAATAGGTGACCAGACAGTCACTGTCGATCTACATGATGTGTTACACATGCCATCATCGCCTAATAACTTATTTTCAATTGGCTGCTTAGATGCCCAAGGTGGCTGCTCCATTAGTGGAGGAGGCCAGATCAAGTTGTGCATTTCCTCAGGGGATGTCATCACACTGGGGAAGTGGAAAAATCATTTGTATGAACTACAATTTACAATACCTATGAAGAGCAAGCAAACCAGTCTCACAGATGAAACAACCTCATGGAAGACATGGTTTTTGGCCAGTAGAATCCAGTCAAAGCTGGTTGCTCAGCAACAAAATGGTGATTTCTGGTTTTGTCAGCTACTGGTTCACTGATGAACATGCGATTGGGTGGGTAAATGTCAGAAAAATCATGGACACATGACAATTACTTGTATAATCATATAATCAATAAGTATGTTTATTCTGAAAAAGTTGCAGGTGGCTGTGCTTACAGCCACTGCAAATTTCACTGACTAAGTGGAAGGCATGTGTGCAAGAAAGTGAGGGTTGGGAGACTTGTGGGCTGTGCACAACCCTTGCCTGTACATCTGTACTCAATTCAATGCTACTGGAAGCCACTCTATGTCAGCCATGTAACTATTCACAAAATAAATGGGTATTCTGTGAAGAGACCTGCCCAAATTTGCTAGATGAGTGGTGTTTGGGCATGGGAAGCAGTTACATGATCACACCTTGTGTGTGGTGCTTGTGCTTCAGGCTCAGCTGTGCACTTGCAAAAAAATTGGCATGGGCCACCCTCCCACCTGGGCAAATTTGCTTATCTGGCTGCAAATTTCCTGGTGCTAAGTCACTTAGCACACTTTACAATGGATTTTGCACTTTACAACCCATTCCCAATGCAAATTTCCCACTTTTCATTGGTTAAGAGCATAGATAAACATGTGTAGGACATGAACAGAGTTCCTTGGCACCCTCCTGAGCCATCCTGCCCAAGCCCTGACATTGTGATGCCCAGCAGGGCCCACTCAAACACTCAAACCCCCTCCCTGCCCACCCACCTGAGGGCAGCCTTTCCTTTTAAGGAAGTTTGCATGGCATCACCACCTGCAAATTTTTCAAACTATGTACATTTATTCCGAAAAATTTGCAGGTGGCTGTGCTTATGGTCACTGCAAATTTGCTGTTTTACTTTTTAGGATTTAATCCAAAACAGGCAAAATCTGCCAAATTTGGATTTATTGTGACACCAATCCCCTTGTGACCAGGTAAAAGTCTCCAGATGTTCTGTAGTGTGGAAAATTCCAACACTAGCTAGACAGCACCAGAAGAATGTCTCGAGACTAAATCCTGACCATGTCTACATGTCTAGTTGCCAAATTTGCAGAACCCATGAGCCCTGGAAACTGTCTCCCATGTTATGTGTAGCACAGCTGTCAGGTGTGTGCTGTATGCAGATTCTAGAAATTCAAAAATTTTCAAACACATCGCTAATCTTGGATATGTGTAATATACTTTGTACAAGGTACCTGGAACATCCATGGTAAGGCCAGGCCAGGCAAGGAATGTATGACAGCCTGGTACTGATCATGGCAGATGTGCCATATACTTATTTCAGCACAGATCCCATACTGGCCAAGGGTATACTATGGGCATGCAGCTCATGTAGGTTGGATACCCACTGCACATGGCAATGACACCAATATCTGAAACTGTTACCCCACTGGTCACTTCCAAGAATAGAGCAGACATTTCTGGTCAGAAACATGTCATGTCCATTGCAAAATACAACAAAATACAACAGGTAGTTATGCATATATGGCAGGGACAGAACACATAGATCAGTTGGACTAGCAAAGGGAAGGGGTAGAAAAGGACAGCATGTCTACAAAATTCATTCCAGATGTATGATAGCATGTCTGAAACATTATGGGGGAACATATCCTCAGTCTCTTCCTTTGCAAGCCATTCTTTGATGAACTGTCCTTCCAGTGGGATGATTGGGTTCCATGGCTCCCATTTCCTGCATGGGAAGGCTGGATATGCTCCAATATATGCAAGCCAGAACATGTCATGACCCCATGTCCATTCAGGAACATTCATCACTTGCACAATGTCCACCAGCCACCATTCAATTCCCATTGACAGTTCCAACCAGTGGTTGGCATCCATTGGGTTCCACAGGGGTGGTAAGGGTAGGAATGTGATTGGGATTTCATCATGGCTCATGTTGGTCTAGATAAAATATGATGCACAGCACAGTCCCAAGATCTCAAGTCTGTGAGCATGGCACACTCATAGAGACAGTTGAAACAATGTGAAGAATCAATCTGAAATGCCCAAACAATCCACCTTGGCAAGCATGGTGGATGGTAAAGGTAGGCCACCTGTCCTGGCCTCAAAATTCATGATTGCTGACAGCCCTTGTTTCAGTCTTTCAATTTGTGAACTCAGGAAATAGGACTGAGATTGTCTGCTTGATCTGTCCATGTATGCTCGATGGTCATCTCCATGAATTTGCATTAAAGCACATCAAGTCTCATTCCCAGTTGCATATCCATCAGCACCATCTGAAGATGTGGATGAAGAATCAGACAACTATTTCTGGCTGTCAAGTGCAATACCCTGGCCTCTTGGATGAACAGAATCATCCCTCCATCCCCCCATATCAAATCTGTGAGTCCCATTATCAATGAAGCTGACTTGGATTTGCTTGAACCTCAGCTGGTGATTGAATATAGCAACCACCTGAATGGACCCATCTCCAACTTGTCTGATAATTCCCCATTACAAGATATGACTGGGAAACCTGGTATGCTTCATGTGCCACTGAGCAAGCTCTGGGAGGCAACATCAAACAGCCATTACCAGTCACTGGGCAATGACTGGGACTTGTTCCAGGACATGCAAGAATCTCTTTATACAAATGCTGATGTGTTCTCAATGCCACTTACACAGTTCCACTTCCCCATCCATGGTGATGTCACATGTGAAGAGGTCTTTGAAGAAGATCACTTCAGTATTGAGGTCCCTGGTCACCAGAGTCTGTAGATTTAGACCTAGCAATATGGCAATTACCACAAACACAGTTACACAACTCATGGCAACTACCAGTCCCTGCAATCAGCACATTTGACCAAACCCCCAGCAACTACCACACAGCCACCACACAGCCACTCAATAGTGTTTACCTGATGTTTAGTAAGCTGTAGGACATTGGTAGATTTCAATCCCCACCAAATATATTCACAAGATCAAATCATATTAAACCCTATGATAGGATTTACATTTGGAAATAGCAGGACAATCTTCCAACTGCAGATATTGACTAAATAGGCAGGTGAGTAAGAACAGTTACTCCTCATCTGTCCTGTCATCCTCCAGATCATTGTCCCCCACCTCATACACACTGCCATTCAAATCATTGTCCCCCACCTCATATGCACTGCTATTCAGATTGTTGTCCTCCAGATCACTGTCCCCCAACTCATACACACTGCTATTCAAATTGTAATCAATGCTGAAAAATTCAGTGCAATCTTTGACCTCAATGTTGGTCCTTGCTCAATGCCAAAGCATGCTAAAATGATCAGAGAGCTGGTGTTGCAGAGTGGCCTGTCAATCTGCATATGCACAAATTCCTTCCCTTACAAGGCTATCAACCATGACACCACTGGGGGGTTCCCTACACTGCTTCCACCACTGTGCCTTGTACTTGAGGAATTTTTCTGTGTGCCACATTTCTTCCAGCAAAAGTTCAACCTCTTCAGACCAGTGTGCTGCTTGGACATGGGCTTTTGCCCACTCTATGTGTAGTGCTTAAAACAATTTTGATTTAGTGGAATGATGTGCTGATGTAGATATTGACATACCTTCGATCATCCCCTCATCACTGCTTGCCACTGTCCCACATGCCCAGATCCAAGACATTGTTCTATATCCCTCACCCAAGCCATGTCTTAAAGCCTTGTGCTGCTTCTTGGACCTTTGGCAGCCATTGGAACCAATGATGGCATTTGGATCATCAATGTCACCCAATGTAGATGCAGTCAGTCCACACACATCCTTCATTTGCAGTGGCTGCAGCTCTTCCTCCCAGGAACCTGTACCATGGAGTGCAAGGAGCACCACATGAGCTACCTGGTACTTCTGTATGACTCTGCCAATCTTTGAGGAGAGTGTGTTTATCAGTGTCTTTGTGTGAGTATTTGCCCTTTGGCCACAGATGTTTGTGTTTCAATATTTGATGAAATGAGTCTGCATATGTAGGTAGTTTTGAAGCTTGCCAAGGGCATCATGACATTGCACCTCTCTAAGTTGCACTTTGATGACAGAAATGTCATCAGAGATAGACATGCACTCAGTTGGAGACAACTCTGATGGCATGCACAAGTGGATGGCTTTGGCTTCAGCTTCAGGATCTTCAGACTGTTGAACAATACTCTCAATGCCAATCATGTAAACCACTTGAATTTTGCAAAACTGTCAGATTTGATGGAAGAGTGCAGCACAATGTCATTGTAAACTTGTGTCTTGAGTCACTGTAAGCTGTAATTCAGCCAATACATCTGACTTCAGACTTCACCTAGCATTGAATCTAGGCTCATCTGTCTAGGCCTGAAGGAAAATTACATACTGAGTTTCTTCAATTGTCAACCCAAAAGAAACAAAGCTGCTTGGGGACATTTTATGGTGGCTGAATTCCCCACAAGCAGCTGCAGCCTTGTCATCAGCAGCCAGCCGGGAGTGAACCTCAGCCTTGGTTGGAACTGCAATCACATCTGGTGACCCAATGTACATCACACAAGGAACAGGAATACATACAACACTAAGTGGTGGCATATGGATTCAGATTGGATTTATCAGCTTCCCATGCAGTGATCATAGTGGTCCATGTCTCCCTCTGTGAAGTGCCAATAGATGTGCTAAATTCCTCCAGGGTAGTGCAATTGATGAGATTGCTCAGGAATGGCAGCTTTGAGCCTGTCACAAAGTAAACATCCTTCACTGCTGTTAGTACAGTACACCATCCCACAAGATTTGTGCTTACTGAGACCAACAAGCTTTCTGAAGTTGTGATGGCTGAAGTGGTCATTGATGGTATCATGCCTCACACTGGATGTCATTTCTTTTGTACTATTTGTGACACAATTGATCTCTGACCAGTTACACTTGACCCCTTCACCATCAGTGCAGCCAACACCAGGCAGAAGATTGAGAGAATGGGGTATAGCACATGAGGCAGAATGGGCAGGGGCATGGAACTTTGGAATACTGAACACAAATGATGACGTGATGATGGCAAGGGGGAGACATAGATGTTTGGGGAGCTGGTCTATCCTTTGGGCAAGGTTGAGTTTCCATTGACAGGCAATGTCATAGGAAATGACCATGGAAAGGAGCTGAAAGGGGGAAATAGCTGAAAAAAATATATAGTCCATGTTACAGTAGCTGGGAATTTATGAATGGATGCGACTGGAAGGGGTGTAGATGTGTACTTACTGCTTGCCTTTTTGCAAATTGCCCACACCACAAGGGCATACAAATTCATGTTGGGCACAAAGGCATAGTCCTACACCCATTGTATGAAGACCAGTTGTGAACTTGGTTTTAGCATGAGCCATAGACCTGAAACTGTTACATGTGCTGATCTAAAGCAAGAGTCAAGGGTGGGAAATCAAAAACATATTACATGCAGATGCACATCTTCTTGCATAGCAAACCAAAGTATGTGCTCATTGTAAGGGCCATTGGCAACAAAGTAGGCAAGGCCAGTATGCAGGCCTGGATCCTGGTCAGATGCATGTGCACAGTTCTTGAGCTGAAAGTTGGCATCTATCACAATGATAATGATGAGTGAATAAAGAAACCTAAGGCCTTGATTAGAATATGTGTAGTGCCCAATATGTCCAATGAACTTTTTAGAGGGCTCCACATCTTTCCAATCATCAGGCAAGTTCATGCCTGGTTGTGGGCATGCAGGACACAACACAGCGAGCCCACCAGGTATGGTGGTATGAATACCATCTTGCTTGCTTGCCCTCCCTGCTCTTTTGAGGAGTTTTGTGTGGTGGAACTGACAAACCATGCACAAAAAGGGATGATACCAACTCTGAGATGCACATCAGTGGGGACTAGACTAAGGGCCCATACCACATACCTTTGGCATATTAATACCTGTATTATCTGTAAGACACTCCAGCATGTGATAGTATTCATATGCCAAAACTTTACTTGACCACATGAGTCACAGAAAGTGATCCAAGACTGTTCTGGTGCAAGCTGTCCTTGGATTACAGAAGGTGGCAGGATACCAACCACATTGCAGAAGCTGTTGGTGATGGGACATGTGCTGCTCACAGCCACAGAAATTCACATTAACAGGGTGAATGCTGTTGACATCAATGACAATGAAATCTAAATGACTATGCTCTGGACAGTAGCAAAACATGTCTTCATGACTGAGCTGAACTATGAGGCCAAGCTACTTTAAGGTGACATGCTCAAAGAACTTTCCATTCCACTTCTACAAATGATTTGTGAAGGGTGGGATGTATTATAAAGTGGATGAGCTCACCTTGATTTTGTGTAATGGTAAATGTTGATGAGTTGCTAGACAACAGGTCTGACATGACAATGTGACCCTGTGACAATCTTTGCAATGAAAGAGTTGTTTGTTTGGCATTCCACTAGCCACCTCACAACTACACCATTTGGCAGCATCACTGCAGCTCTCAAGCCAGAGTTCTTCAAAGAGATACTCCTCATGATAACCATATTCTTCATCATTGAACCCTGCCCACTGTCAAGTCCAGGCCTACTCTGACCAACTCTGATGCTGGATGAGGTCTGGGGAGAGGTTCAGAAGCAAGTCTGACAGAAAGAACTGAACTCCAACTGGCAGAGTGTTGGCAGGAATGAAGTCTGCTGAGATAATGGCAGAGTGGAGTGAGGGCATCAGGTTTAGCTTGTGTGCTACCCCCTTGCATGATCTCAGCCCTTGTATTTCAGAGGGAGAGTACAGACAGACAGATGGAGGTAACTCCAACAGACAGAAGATGGAGACAGAGGGAGTAGGAACTAAGTCAATATTTGTACTGAAGAACAGCAGAGTATGGTACATGCTTTTATACTACTATGGAGGTACAATAATCGGAATCAGAACTGACATATGGAGACTTGTAAAATTTCAAGTAAAATTTCCTAGATGATGAATGAAGGGTAGATGGAGGACATATGAATGGGTAACACAGAATATCCCAAAGAGGAAACAGTCCAGGTGCTGGACCATGTGGTGTGTGCACTGCAGAGTCCCTGACCACATGCTGTCAGGGAGAAGTCTGAAGGGTAGTCACACAACTCCTCAGAGAATGGCCCATGTGGTCCAGTAGGAGAGCAGTACAAGTCCAACAGCAGTTGGAGCGAAGATGACTTGTAAATGTCAGGGGGTGGGCAGAGTTGGTGCAGAGTGAGCGAATGACTGGTGGAAAGGGGTGTGGAGTGAGTGAGGACTTAGGATGAATGCACAGTCATGACAGTGCCCCCCCCCCCCTTAGGGCCTGAACCCCTGAAGGCTGCATGTACAAGACAAGATCAACACAAGTCAATTAATTGAAACTATTTTGATGCCTCAAGGATAATGGCTTTAGCCACAGTGGAGCTCCATTGGAGTCTGAAGAACTGCTTAAAAACACATGCCAGGGTTCTGAACCCTTGTCCCTTCCCCCCATCATCATGTCCTCCCAGCATCAGAGCAAAACCCCCCAGCCAACCCCTGGCCATGTCTGTGACTATTCCTAAGTCACAGATGAAGAACTGTTTGTCCTCACCAATGACTCCACCAACACCAAGCAGGAGAAGTCCACAGAGAAGGCACACTGATGAGAGGAGACTGAGCAGAGAGAGAGAGAGAGCACAAGGCCAAGTGTGAGGAGGCCAAAAGGTGGAAGGTGGAGGAGGAGAGGTTGGAAGTGGAGTGGAGGAAGAGAGCAGAGGAGGAAGAGGAGGCCTGAAGGAAGAAGGTGGCAGAGGAGGAGGCAGAAAGGCAGAGGCAGAGGACCTCTGAGGAGAGGGCCCAGGCCAGACAGGACAAGGCTGCACAAAGGTGAGTGGCAGAGTACCATGAGTCAGGCAGAGCTGACTTGCAGCTTTATTTTTCTTAGACTATGCAGCATGGTGTATGACATCAACACCACCCAGAGGGTCCCTGGGACCTCTGTGGTGGTCAGTGCAGCAAGGCAGCCCCACTGTACTTGCTGTGTAGCAAGTCTGACAGTGGGGCAGTGTGAGCCAGGACAAGGCAAGACCAGGGCCTGCATGCCCTGCCACAAGAAAAAAAAGGTGTGTAGTTGGATGAGGGAGGATGTGGTGGCAGGACCATCATGGAAGAGAGTGGGGACAGGGAATTCCTGAGGAGAGAAGAAGAAGAGACCATGAGGGAAGGAGAAGGAGAGAGCAACAGAGATGGAAGAGGTGGACAATGAGCAGGAGGTGGGCAGAGAGGAAGACAAACCAGTGACCCTGCTCAAGGGTCCCTCAGGTGTGGGAGTCCACACATGGTGGGCAGAGTGGGAGCAAGAGCAGCAGTTGTAGGCCATGGAGAAGCAGACCAAAGCACATGAGGCTGCTGCACTGGCCTTTGAAAGGATGGCAGGCACAGCAGAATGGATGGCAGCAGCTGCAGAGCAGACAGCCAATGAGTGGGCACTGTACTGCACCTGGGCAGAGTGGGTGGAGACAAGGAGGAGGGAGGATGTGCAAGAGGCCAGGATGGCTGAGCTTGAGCACACAGGCAGTGGTTGGAAGAGGCCTCTGTCAGAGGCAGTGGAGGAGCAGCATGAGGAAGCAGACAAAGGTGTGGAGGGGGACAATGAGGAAGAGGAAGAAGTCAGAGGAGAGCTGGAAGGCAGAGAAGGACAGGAGGGTGGCAGAGAGCAAGCAATGGAAGAGTATAGTAGTTTTTTTTTTTTTTTGGTTTGTATATTTTTGTACTACTACAAAACAGACTTGTGACCTTGTTTGTGATTCTGAGAAGTGAAGTGGAGAAAACTCTAAAGTACTTAAGGTAGTTTGATAAGGGGTGGGGTTGGCCTGTGGAGGAAGGTTATGTGGGTGGAGTACTATGGCAGAGGTTGATACAGGCCAGGTTTGTGCAGATAGTGTTTGTGGAAAGCAGAGACTATGTCGAAAGCATGGTCCAGCTTAGTTGCAAGCAACCAAGAGGTTTCTTTGTCAGTGTTCTTGTAACCAGCCCAGCAGACTAGGTACAAGAGTTGACAGTGGTAGCATTGGCAGTCCACCTCAGAGTTGAATATCTCTGACACTTCATACTCAAGGTCACCATTGACATCTACTGGCAGAGGCAGAGGTTGTTGTTGACTTGGGAAAGGGTTTGCCACTGCAGCTTCCAGTTGTGAGACATGGAAGACCAGATGTACTGAGTGCATAGTGTCAGGGAGCTTAAGGGTGACAAAGTGCATACCTGGCCTGGCCAAGATGGTGAACAGACCTAAGTGCCTTTTGGAGAGTTTTTCTGAAGGACGAGTGGAGTGGAAGTACTTGGCTTTGACATAGGCATGTTCTCTGACCTTGAACTCAGGTGGAGGTATGTGTTTGACATCTGCTGGACCCTGATAGTGCTGCTGAGCAGTGGACATTTTGGAGTGGAGGAAATCATGGAGGGCAGAGAGCTCAATGACATAGTCATGAGCCCTTGGAGAGGTGAAGTCTTGGTCAGGGACCACAGACAGGTTTGGATGATATCCCTTGTTAGTGAAGAAGGGAGAAACTCCAATAGTTGCACTTGGTGCATTGTTGAAAGCAAATTCCACTAGAGGTAACAGCTCAGCCCAATTGTCTTGTTGGTATGACAGGTAAGGCAGAACCCTCTAGGTAATGCCACCAATGGCAGAAGGCCTTGAAGATAGCCAACAGCTCCTTGTTGTGGGTATCATAGTTGAGTTCTGGCATGGTCATGGTGCAGGAGTAGAAAGTGACTGGGCAGAGTTCACTGTCAGAGCAGGTGATCAACAAAATGCCAGCAATGGCATAGTCAGAGGCATTGGTTTCAACTGTAAGCAGAGTGTCAGGAACCCAGTGTGTGAGGACAGGAGCAGAGCTGAAGGCATCCTTCAGGTGGAGGAAGGTGGAGCAACACTCCTCGGAAAAGTTCCAAGGAGCACCCTTTCACATGAGGCAAGTGAGCAGAACAATGATGTCAGAGTAGTTATTACTGAATCATCTGTAGAAGTTTGTGAAGCCAAGGAAAGATTGGATGTCTTGCACCTTCCACAGCTCAGGCCAGTTGTAGACCACCTGAACCTTCTCAGTGGACATGGTGAGACCAGAGGGAGAAAGAACATAACTGAGGTACTTGATGGAGTTGGAGTGAAACTTGCACTTCTCCAGCTTGGCATAAAGACCATGCTTTTGAAGGTGGCAGAGTACCTCTTTTACATGTTCACAATGCAACTCCATGTCCTGCAAATAAATTAGGATGTCATTGAGGTATACCATGACACAGACATCAAGCATGTCTATAAAGATGCTATTAATGAATTGCTGGAAAGCTGCAGGTGCATTAGTCAGACCAAATGGCATTACCTGCCACTCATAAGAACCATAACAAGTGCAGAAAGCCATTTTCCATTCATCTCTGTCTGCAATGTGGACTAGATGATAGGCATGGCAGAGGTTGATCTTGGTGTAGACTTTAGTGCAGCTTGGGGAGTCAAGTAGGTTGGAGATGAGTGGCAGTGGATAGTGATCTTTTTTCATGATTTTATTGAGTCCTTGATAGTCTATGCAGAGGCAGAGTGAACTGTCCTTCTTCTTTACAAAGAGGACAGGGGCACTGTGAGTGGAGGTGGACTGCTTGATAAAACTGTAGCCAAGGTGCTCATCAATGAAGGTGTGGAGAGCTTCAAGCTCTGGTGGAGACAGAGAGTAGATTGTGCCAATGGGCAGAGAAGCTCCTTCCTTGAGGTCAATCTTGAGATCAAATGAGCAGTGTGGCAGAAGTTCAGTAGCCTTGTCTTTACTAAAGACACCAGCAAACTTGTGATACTCAGGAGGGACCAAGGAGAGGTC